ACCGAACCGGTTATTTTATTTTTATTTTCCATTTATTTGGCTATAATATCATCCAGTTTGTTTTATTTTATAAAAAATATATAAACAATAATAATTGCAAATTTAAAGAAATTCCTTTAACAACCTCTGTTTTATATTTAAAGCTTGGTTAATAATTATTAATAAAGTGGAAATAAAACAAAAAAAATCAGGTCTGTTTATTTGTTATGAACACGATGCAATAAATGATCTCTCATAAATTTTTTAAGAGCCTAAAAGTTGGCAAGAAAAGAACAAGTTTTAACAAAAATAGAGTGATCTATGATAAGTTTTCCTGTTCACACTTGGTTTTTAACAGCAATTTTTTTATTATTATTTGCAGGTATTTGTACAAAAACAATTCCGCCTGTGATCTGATGCACAAGCTGTAATCTAACTGGCCTCTTTAATAATCCCAGCCCGGCTGTTTATAAGGTGTGGAAATGGCGAAGCGCGCGCAGCTTCCAGTCAAATACAGAAATAAAAAAGAGCTGGAAGGAAAACCGAGAGTCTGCGGCAACAAAGAGGCCCARAATGTGGTGGTGGTTTTACTGCAGGACTGCAGATGGGTCTGTTCTTAAAAAAAAAAGAAAGAAAAAAAAAGACAGAGAGAAAAAAAGAAAAAGGTGTAATTACTTTACAGCCGTCAGTCTCTGCAGAAACATCCGGTTGTTGTTTGGTTGCAGCAGACTCTCTGTCAGCAGACTCACGTCGCAAGTTCCACTAACACTTTTATTTTAAATCAACTGCTGCAAGATGTCATTTTAAATAATAAATATAAAAAATACCAGCTTGCAGGTCAAATTTACCCTCAAACATCAGCTCTTTCAGGGTTTAATCTGTGCGCTGCGCAGATACCACCAGCAGAGGGCGCCATAGGAACACCTCACGTATTAGTTTCTTTGTTTTCTCATTAATGGTCCATATCTAACTAGATCTGGCTATTATTTCACAATCTTAGTTCTGTTTTTTAATTAAATACCTAAACTTTCTTCTTTTAAATGTTTTTCTGAGCCCATTAAAGCTGTGTTTATTGAATGAATATTAAACTTATAATCACATGTTTGGCTGATTAAAGGCACGGATCTGAGATAAAGTGCTTCAGATCATAAAAGATGAGACATAATTACTCAGAAGAATCCAAACGATCTTGTTATCTCAGCCTCTGGGTGTTTTCAGGGATCAGACCAAGGATGCAAACTCAACTCCTCCTCCTCCTCCTCCTCCTCCTCCTCGCAGGGGCTCAGCCAGAGGGGCACCTGATTGGACACCCCCAAATAATTGACAAGAATGAAATCTGGGATTTTGGATTTGCATTTAGATTTTGGTACAGATAGTTCCCTGATGCTCATGTACTGTATAAAATCAGCTCTGGCAGAATTATTGCCCTTAGTTGGTATTAGCATTAGCAGTTAGCTCAAGCACTGCTCAGTCTTACTCCACAAAATATTTCATCTATTTATATTGTTTTAATGGCTGAATGCCTTTTAATTATAAGTAGTGATTAGCATTCAGCATGTATTTATATCATTATTAGCTCTGATCACAAAAAACTTTAGCTCAATATTTCTTAAAACAGCTGAATTAAAGCCATTTAGAAC